TCCACCCTAGTAGCGATGGCCTCCAACCTAGTAGCTTCTTGCTACTAATAGGATTGGCCTCCACCCTAGTAGCCTACTAGCTTCTTGCTACTAGTAGGAATGACCCTAGTAGCGATGGCCTCCAACCTAGGAGCTTCTTGCTACTAGTAGCTTCTTGCTACTAGTAGCAAATAGCTACTACTAGCTTGCCTTTAATCCTGCCCTGATCACGGCATGGTGAAGTGTTTTTGTTTGATCATTTGGTACGTTGGTATCCATGGTCAGGATGTGTGTCTTGTTGCTATGGTAGTCTTTGGGAGTGGCACCTTCAGATCAAATCCTCGAGCACCTGAATTTCACATCTTTCAGACAAAATGCAGCGCAAACACACGCACATATACTGTTATTTAGTTGCTGAACAAGCCACCCCTGAAATCGAGAACGGATTGGAGGCAGTGAGGGCTCTGAGAACGGAGGCGTAGAAGTCCACAAAGCATGAACATTCTCATCCAAAACCTTGGCACCTCGAGGTTGTGCACCTTTGCTTGGCCCTGGCAACCCTTGTTCGTTCAGGGCACGCGGAACTCATTCCGCCACTTGGACTGACGAAAGACATCAGTTTACCACCGACTCGAGACGTCGAGTCGGCAAGGCCACGTTTGCTGAAGCATTTGGCCAAGCGTTTGGACGACTTGGCCTGAGGGAATGAACGACTTGATTTGATCAGAATTTTGGCAACTAATGCTTCCTAGTACGAGGCCATCCCTGTTGGAGGCCATCGCTATTAGGTTGAAGGCCATCACTATTCGGTTAGAGGAAATTGCTATTGCCGTTGCTATTAAATAAAAAGCCATCGCTATTAAATTAAAGCCATCGCTATTGCCATGGCTATTAGGCTGGAAGCCATCGCCATGATGTTGGAGGCCATCCCTATTAGGTTGGAGGCCATCGCTATTAGGTTCGAGGCCATCGCTATTACATTGGAGGCCATTGCTATTAGGTTGGAGGCCATCCCCATCAGGGAGGCCATCGCTACGCTATTAGGTTGGAGGTCCTTGCTATTAGGTTGGAGGCCATCGCTATTAGGTTAGAGGCCACCGCTATAAGGTTGGAGGCCATCGCTATTGGGTTGGAGGCCATCGACTATTACCATCGCTATTGGGTTGGAAGCCATCACCATGATGTTGGAGGCCATCCCTATTAGGTTGGAAGCTATTGCTATTAGGTTGGAGGTGATCGGTATTAGGTTGGAGGCCGTTGCTATTAGGTTGGAGGACCTAATAGCAATGGCCTGTAAACTAATAGCAATAGCCTCCAACCCAATAGCGATGACCTCCAACAAAATAGTGATGGCCTCCAACCTCATGGCGATGGCCTCCAACCTAATAGCGACGACCTCCAACCTAATAGCGATGGCAATAGCGATGGCCTCCAACCTGATAGCAATGGCCTCCAACCTATTAGCGATGGCCTCCGACCTAATAGCGACGACCTCCAACCTAATAGCGATGGCAATTGCGATGGCTTCCAACCTGATAGCAATGGCCTCCAACCTACTAGCGATGGCCTCCGACCTAATAGTGGTGGCCTCCAACCTATTAGCGATGGCCTTCAACCTAATAGCGATGGCCATTGCTACATTGGTTGGAGGCCATTGCTATTAGGTTAGAGGCCATCGCTATTATGTTACAGGCCGCTATTAGGTTGAACATTGGAGGCCATCACTATTAGGTTGGAGGCCCTTGCTATTAGGTTGGAGGCTATCGCTATTAGGTTGGATGCCATCGCTATTACGTTGGAGGCCACCACTATTAGGTCGGAGGCCATCGCTAATGGGTTGGAGGCCATTGCTATTAGGTTGGAGGCTATCGCTATTAGGTTGGAGGCCATGGCTATTAGGTTGGAGGCTACCACTATTAGGTCGGGGCCCATCGCTATTAGGTTGGAGGCCAGCGCTATTGAGTTTTGTAACTGTATATTTTGATAAAGAAAGTGAGGAGTGCAGGTCTGCCTAGCCTTCCGGCCACTCAGGCCCTGTATTTTGATCTTGTTCCCGGACAATTTGTGCGATTGCTGGAGCTCATCCAATATCTTCCAGAGGTTGAGGCAGCCACTGTTCAAAGCCAGCCTTTCTGTACTAACTCAGAAAGCAAGCTCGTGGTCTTTTCAAACTCCTTAAATCTGGCAGGTAGCTTGTGGTCCACGAATACTGGACGAGCTTGCCTACAGAGCAAGAGAGTTGTTCCCACGGAGTGCGACTCAGGATGAAAATTACTCACTGCACCGATGATTTGCTCGCCTCGCTGCAAGCCTTGCGCTTCCGAGGTCCTGCCTGCCAATGCTTCGAGCTGCTTTGCGCCTGAACCACGTGGGGTGTCTTTGGGTGCTTCCTTTTCTAGCTGATGTTGTGTCGGTATGTGTGCGAAGATATTTGATGCTTTCTTTGAGGCGCGTGGAAAGTCCGCAGCAGCTTGGCGTCTAACGCGCATGGATGCAACAGCAGGTGGTCCTTCAATACTCACCAACTCTGAAACATGCGGTGGCCTCGGAATATCTCCTTTGCTCTCGCATTGGAGACTCTTTCGACCATACCTTTTGTTTTCGCTTGTTTCCTGGTAACTCGCAGACTAGTGGAAACCCTACTTTCATCCTGCCCCTGGCACAAGGTGAGGCAGCTGCAATGCTGGCAGAAGCGGCCATGCCTGGCACCTCGATGTCTTCTGGCTTCGCCTTTGATCAAGGCTCCTTTTGCGGGGCCAGTACATTATTATACATATTGACTTTTGATTTGTCTCTTTTAACCGTGGCAGAGATTCACCACACTTCCGGTTCCGTATCAACCGAGCTCAATCTGGCCATAACTAAAACTGGATTGTGGAGATCTCTTGTTTTCCGGATCTTACAGATCCACTCGAGCTCTCAGCGAACCTTCTAACATGTTTTACAGGTTCATGCCTTGATCAAAGGATCTTTTCGGAGCTCCAAATTTGAATCAGTTCCGTATGTTATCTTGAGAACATGAGCCAGGAGTAGCTTCTGCAGAATAAGGGCATTAGTTAGGGCTCATGACTGGACACTCCTTCTTTTTTGCCGGTGGAATCAAGTTTCGTAAGACTCATCATGCAAGACTCTGGCTGTCATCCGCTTCCTGTGCTTCGAGCTTGCTGTGCTTGGTTGTTCAACTCGCAGGTGAAACATCTGGAAGTTTGCTTTGGGAGGCAGGATTCGAAGGATCTTGAATTGGAAGCCATCGCTTCTAGGTAGGCGGGCAGGCAGGCAGCAGGTAGGTAGGTAGGTAGGTAGGTTGGAGGCCATCGCTCTTAGGGTGGAGGCCGCTTGTAGACAGAGTGGCTTCATACAACGGTTTGTGTGTTGTTGGGGGGAGGGGATGCGCCTCCCCCCAACCCCCCTCCCGTCTCACGCAATCTGCAGCTTCTCCGATTTCCACGAAATCTGACTCTAAGAGTGACACCCCTGCACCAGCTTTCTTTCTTTTCCTTCTCTTTCACCCGGGCCTCCACAAACTGGAAATCATTGTAATCTTCCAAATACTTGTTTGCAGCACACACTTCCCTTGACTCTGTGCAACAAAAACGGGACACTGCTGGGAACCTCCCCCAATGGCTGGCGCGTTACTTTCCAGGCCAGGGAAGCCTTATTGATTCTTCTGCATGGGCTCAAGAAGCGGGGTGTGGACTGCCTTCGTCACGGCGGTTGAAGCCTTTCTTGCAGCAAATTAGTTCCTTTGAGAATGGCGACCCTGGATTGAACTCTCGTTGAGAATCCCATAAAGGTAGAGTCGAGTTGCAGTCCCTCTTCTTGGATGTGTAGCTTGAATTGTCAGTCCCCGCAGGATTTGAAGCCTGAAATGGCTGCAAACTTGCTGCGCTTCGCTGCCGCGCTATCAGTCCGGGATACGTGCCTTGACAAGACAAAGGTGTTTGCCGATGGTAGTGTTTGCCCAACTCCATGTTCTTGTGTTTGAATGAAAGCCTGAGGCACTGGTTCTACCTTGGCCAGAAGTTGCTGGTATGGCGCTTAGCTCTTTTAGCGCTTACGCCTTGGCAGTAAAAAACTGCCACGTGAGAGAGCATTGGCGCTTTTCTTCCTGGCAAGGTGCCTCAGCCCATGCACGGGAAGCACTCGACTCGGAGCTCCTCAACGATCGCGTCGGAGACGGTGACAGAGGTGCCTAAGGGGATCGGGAAAAAGAGCTATGTCGATTGGGGGATCCATAGACCGAGGGATGCGTGGATGCATGATGATGCATGCACCTACTCTTTGTTTTTTTAAAGATTCAGACTCAGTTCAGCACATCCTGAAGACTGTTTCTATCGCCAAGGCAGACCTTGCCACTTGCACTCTGGCACTGGCTCGCTTGTCGTTTCCACAGCTTGTGGACGCAGGGTCGCTGTTTTCAAGGCTGGGTTGTTGGATCAGAGAGACTATACATTCCTTGGATTGCTATTAGGTTGGAGGCCATTGCTACTAGGAACAAGAAGCTACTAGTAACAAAGGCATCGCTACTAGTAACAAGGGCATTACTACTCGTGGCAAGAAGCTATTAGGTTGGAGGCCATCGCTATTCACCACCCACTGCTTTGACATTCCGACCGCAGGTCAGCGGTCGCTGTGAAGTCACCTGAGGCTGCATCTTCAGTCATGGAGGTGCGGCGTTCTATTCTTGCAAAATTACGAGAACAAGAAACCAACAGCGATCCTGTCTGCAGAACTTCCGCTTAGGCGGCAGCTATCTTCAGTTTGACCGAGAGGAGACCGCAGGACTGCAAGAGCTTGGCTTGCTGAGCTTGCCTGGCCTTCCAGCTGCTTCTGTTGAAAGGGAGTTGCTTTGGATGCATGCCAACAAATTGCTCTTCAAAGTCATTTCCGGCTAAATGGTCTCAAGAAGCTCCGCATGTTCTTTTTGATGTTGAGACCCGGCAGGATTTGGTGGCATCGAAGTTAATTCCGCTGGTGACGGTTCTTGACAAAGCCCTGAGGAAACAGTGTGTATTTGTTCCTAGCAGCTACTTGCTCCTAGTAGTACGGCCAGGAGCCCCTAGTAGCGTTTTTGCTCCTAGTAGCGTCGTGTGGATGCTTCAAGATGTTGACGTGCAGGACTTTGCCAAAGGACGACCAATACGAGACCAAGGCACGTGCGGAGAAAGGTCTTGGTTCCTTGTATCAACTTGTATCCCAATCATTTGTGTTCCAATGTGGTCTTAACCTATATACATCCTGTCAGCTTCACAGCCTGTCGGAGGCTGCTGCTCTCCTTCCTCGACTCTTCCCATTTTGTGGACGTTTTGCCCAGGTGGCTGGCCAAGAGGCTAGGGCCTCGAATGGGTCTTGGGCGAGTCCAATGGGCTTAGGCGGGTCCAACGGGTCTTTTTCCCCACTCCTTTCAATACTTGGAAAGGATAGTTGTTGGATGTATCTGTATGTGTGTATGAATATAATGTAATGTAATGAAATGTAATGTAATGTACTGTATTTGTGCATGTAGGTATGTAGGTAAGTAGGTAGGTAGGTACGTATGTACGTATGTAAGTATATACGTATGTACGTACGTAGTAGGTATGTAGGTATGCAGGTATGTAGGCAGACTGGCAGGTAGGCAGGTAGGTATGGATGTATGCACGCATGCACGCACGCATGCATGCATGTGTAGGTAGGTAGGTAGGTAGGTAGGTAGGTAGGTAGGTAGGTATGTATGTATGTATGTATGTATGTATGTATGTATGTATGTATGTATGTGCACGTGGGCAATACTACTTTCGTCCGCCTGGTGTGTGCTGGCTGGCTAAACGAGATGTCAATGATGCCACTATAGTTCCATGACATATTTTGCATGAATGATCATAATTAAGATTACAGTCATAACCCGTGCCACCACTCCTTATGCCGAGGGTTGTTCCAACACGTGTCCCTCAACCAAACTGCGAGATCTTTCCTCCTCCAGAATTGGCAGATCATCTATTCGTGCTGGTATGCCGTCAAGCCACACTTGCCACACCCACGCACCCACGCTGCAGGACATGAGCCCGTCCCTCACGTCCCTCACATCCTGACCTCCCTCGCGTCCTTGAAGTCCCTGATGTTCCTCATGCAGCCTGACGTCCCTCACGTCCCTGACGACGTCCCTCGCGTCCCTGCTGTCCCTCGCGTCCCGTCCCTGGAGTCCCTGCAGACGTCCCTCGCGTCCCTGACGTCCCTCGCATCCTTTGCGTCCCTGCATCCCTCGCGTCTCTGATAGTAGTGGTAGTGGTGGTGGTAGTAGTAGTAGTAGTCATGGTAGTAGTAGTCATGGTAGTAGTAGTCATGGTGGTAGTAGTCATGGTAGTAGTAGTAGTAGTAGTAGTAGTAGTAGTAGTAGTAGTAGTAGTAGTAGTAGTAGTAGTTTTAGTAGTAGTAGTAGTAGTAGTAGTAGTAGCAGTAGAATTTCTGCAGCACAAGCAAGATAGTATGTCTCCTTAAAAACCTTGCGACTTACGAAGCTCCAAGAATTTTGTTTTGGAGTTTAGATGCTCTTTGACCCCTTGAAGACACATAAGGCGATATTTGCCACGGCGCCCGTTTTTCCAGCAGTTTCCAGATCAAACTTCGTAGCTTGCGGGTGTTTTGTTGAAAGATGACAGCAGCCCGTCAAGGACACATAGTTTGTTACTGTGCTCATGTTTCAAATTTCTCGAGCCGAGGGTTTGTGCACAAACATGACAAAACATGATTCCACATTCTTTTAATGCAAGAGGTATGCTAAACTTTGCACCCACATGTCCTTCAACTTACGTTACACGGGCCTTCACTTACTTCTCTTGGAAGACCTTCCGTAAATCACGCCCTTCACGTCCTTTGCGTCACTGGTCCACGCCCCATCAAGTTGCACATCATGCTGTACAGTCGTTGCTAAACACAATGGGCTTGCTGAAGAGCAAAAATCATAGGTTTGTTGGCTTGTCAGGGTGTCAAATGACCCAATGTGGTTGTCGCCGCCGAAAAATATCATGTATGTATGTATGTATGTATGTATGTATGTATGTATGTATGTATCTCTGTCTGTCTGTCTGTCCGTCCGTCCGTCTGTCGGTCTGTCTGTCTGTTTGTCTGTCTGTCTGTCTGTCTGTCTGTCTGCCTGTCTGTCTGTCTGTCTGTCTGTCTGTCTGTGCGTATGTATGTATGTATGTATGTATGCATGCATGCATGCATGTATGTATATAATGTAATGTAATGTAATGTCTTGCAATGCAATGCAATGCAATGTAATGTAATGTAATGTATGGTATGTAATGTGTGTAACGTAGTTTGTGTAATGTATGTTCTGTATGTTATGTATGTTTTGTATGTTATGTTATGTAATGTATTGTATTGTATTGTATCGTATCGAATTGTATTGTTTTGTGTTGTATTGTATTGTATTGTAATTTATTGCATTGCATTGCATTGTATGTATGTATGTATGTATGTATGTATTTTTTCTTCTAAAGTTAGATGTTGTGCATGCCGTGTTGGCGTCGTCCTAGCCTTTGGCTCAGAGGGCGGCTCAGAAGTAGTCGACATCACACTCACCGAGTTCAGGGCCTGTCGTAGGCGAGCTTTCCTCATCACCTTCATGGCCGGTCGTCTTGGCCTGATGTGATCTCCTGGCTTCGAGTGGCTTGTCGAACTTGAGCTCTATGGGAGCCGGTGGAGATGGTCCTTCCGGTGGTGTGGTCAGGTTGGATGGTGTTGTTGGTGCAGGCTGGGTATCATGGTGGGTGGTTAGCTGACTGGGTTTGGTCTGGCTGCTGAACAGCTGTACCAACGTTGGCGATGCTTGGGTCTGGCCTCGGCATTCCTTTTTGAGACTTTTGGTCAAAATGACACGGTCAGCCTCATCCAAGTGGCTTTGGATACCACAGTTCTTGCACTTGATCTCTTACCCTTTTGCCACAGGCTATGTGTAGCGTGGGCTTCATGAGGTTTGGTGTAGGCTTCATCAACACAGCGGCTATTGGTGAAAGCTGTGAAGATGGTCTCATTGGCTCACTTGTGCACTGAGAGGTTGCATTTACTGCATTGCAGGTATCCAGTGGTTTCTTGGTAGGCATGTTCGTCCGATGCCACTGGATGCTGTTTTTGGATGTGCAGGAGCTCGGCAATGATACTGGCCCTGGTGATCTTCTTTCCAACTGCCCGGGTTGCTGGTAGGTCTGGTTCGGGTGCCTCATGTTCGAGGAGCTCACATGTTTGGTTGAGCCGTTGCTCAAGGAGGTCAGCTGTCGTGGACTCGTGTATGGCATGTGTGACATTGGTACCCACTGCGGTGTGGTTTCCATTGATGCCTCCCTGGAACCCATGCTGCTCCCCTTTGGCTTGAGCGGGTTGGTTCTGGATGATTGTGAGCCGGGCTTGCAGCTGCTCCCAAAAGGCCGGTTTGCCTTTCTTCCAGATGGCCCCTGACTCGGCCTGTACGAGGGGCTGATGTTGGACTGCCAGATTGGAGGCTCTGCCTTGTGGTGCCCAAGCATGTTGTTGTAGTAGGTATTGTTCAGTGATTGACACCCAATCGGCTACGCCCCCCTGGCCCCTGCGTTGGGTTCCGCATCATAGAGCTGGATGTCTTCGACTTGTGAGACATAGGTGCTCCATGCTCTGAATCCAATGTCAGGTACATTGGGTAGTGGTGGAAAGCTGCGTAATTGGTTGTACTTCCGGAACCATCGCACGGCCCAGTCGGTGGTCATGGAGGCCAGTGGAGCCAGATTTTGGCGCATGATGGCGTAGTCAACCGTATTCCCATTTAACAAGGTGGCATCAGGCGCCAGGATTTGCCAGTGGAACTTGGAGCTGAGTACTGTGTTCTGGAATTGCTCAGGATGATTGTTCCAATCTCCAACCATGATGTATTGCCTGTTAGTGGCTTCGATGAGGGCCAAGATCCTTGCTAGCAGACCGCAATGACCAAGATGGATCTTGCTTTGGCCTCCCATAGAAAGGCTTGGTAGCCGGAGCCTTCAATGTCAAAGTTCTCAAACTTGGAGATCCCATGTGCCGTGTCATGGAGGATCAGGACACCTCCATGGTTCCCTTCGTTTGCTGTGGGCCGGATATCCAAAAGCGTGTCTGCCTCTGACCTCAAATCAACGAAGACATAAAGCTCGTTGTCGCGACTCCAGTACCAGTCGAGTGTGTGCCGACCGAAGGATGTGATGTTGGCTACATGGATTCTCATTTTGTCCTGTGAGAATCTGGCCTTCTTGGGAGGTGTTCCATGTAGCGGTGGATCATAATCTGGGGTCTCCGGAGCCGGCAAGGCTCTGGCGATTTGACGTGGTGTCACAAGGGCTGACGTCTGTAGTCCGCGGAGTCAGGACAGGCAGGACTTTGGGCGTCCCTCCGTCGTCTGCAATTGACATGAGGTCTTTGTAGACCAGGATCGTGAAGTAGTGTCCTCGGTGGCAAATGTAGGCGATGGGGATGTACTCCGCACTGGCTCTTGAGTAGCCGTCCAGCGATCTTGGGACTGTATGTGGTCCGTGCGGATTGAGAGCTCTTTTATGCTTTGTGACTGTTCCCCCAATGGTGACTGCTCGGTTGATGTGGCTGACCATAACCAACTTGTCATCACTGAGGTATTGGCCATAGCCCTGATTTGCCCAGCAGTTGAGAAGTTCTTGCCGTGATCTCACCCAGGTATTCATCAGGGTAGTCGATGATGATGGGGAGTTGGATATCTGTATTGCATAACTCTAGTTTGGGATTGGAGCCAAACAGAGTTGACGAAATGTGCTGCATCCCCTTCTGTGTTGAGGTCGCGCTTGTGCCATAGCTCTTGTAGTCCTGGGAGTGTTTTGAGGTCCACAGAGTTTGAAGGAGGTTTGGACTGCTTCTTTCACCGTACCCCATGGCTCCCGGTTGAACTCTGCCAAATAGGCGCACATCCAGCAGAAAGCTCGCCAGGGCGCATTGGCATAGCAGCGTGCGCTTGGATTTCCCATCACCATGCACAAATTTTGCATCAGGAGGTCCGTGGTGGAGGCGTATTCATTGGTGCTCATGTTTGGGCTTCTCTCCAAACTGTCGTAGGTGGATGATGTCACTGCGCCAGCTCCGCCCGTTAGCTTGATGCAGCTCGTGCTGCTTCTCTGCTTTGCTGCAGGGCTTCTGGAGCTGCTTACTGGCTTGCCAGTCTCCGCCCTTTGGGAGCGCACAGGCTTTGCAAACCTGGCACCATATCTTGTTGCGTCTTCGCAGCATCACACGCGTGGGATTTCCAGTCCACGTAGGTGGAATGTCCCACTTGCCACTCCAGCACGGACTTTGGCAGAGCTGCTTAATTTTGTCGCGAGC